GTTAATGGCATTGGCAGAAGCGATCGAGTCAATTTGATAACACGGAACGAGGGAGCCCGGCGGCGCTCGGCGACTCCCAGTCGCCTTAAGTAAAAAGTCATCTGTGAAGATGGTTCGTTGAGTATCAGGCCAAACTGAAATAGGGAAGAAGTATAGAGGCAGTATAGTCTCCTTAACTTGAAGCCTTGAACTGAATATATTTGAAATAAGCCAAAACAAATTTGTTTGATGATAAGCAAAAGTACTAGCACTAATGCATGTTTTGGTCTGACCTTGTTTTCGCAACGCGGTCAAGCGACAGAAAGGCTTTGTCAAACTTACCCAGTCCTGGGTCCTCTGCCACAAAATTTCAGGATGATTTCCAGCATAAGATCAAGGATTTGGGGCATGGTCAGAAAAATCGCCAGCATCGAAGTGAGAGGGGCTAGCCTTAGCAACGAGTTACAACTTAGCATATGGGAATAAAAGTTAGGTTGCGAGGAATCTCATTATTCATAATTGTATAACTTACTTCCATTTCGAGTGCTAAGCTTTAGTCCGTTGTATAACGAACATCGTAGATACGAAGGGAAACTGGGTTTCGATTAATCTCCTGAGATAAGATTGTTTGGAGGACTTTCATTTCGTATGAAAGTTCATGAAGAAGGGATTTGTAGGTCGATCTCACCAGAAGAGAACGGATGAAGCCAGTTGTACTGCAGCCATTTTGTTTTTATACGACGTTCAGGTTGATGCAGCCCACGAGACCTCCTACCTCGTTTCGAGTGAAAAAAGGATGAGCGTTCGTCAGAGCTAGATCTCATTCCTGTAAAAGTCCCATGTTTATACTAGAGCAAGAAGACTATCCGGCTCTATCTTACCTCTTATATTAACTCAATTAGGCCAAACGGCTGCAATACAACGGGATTCATACGACCTCTTCTGATGAGATTGACCTACGAATATCTTCTTTATGAACCTTCACACGAAATCAAAGTCCCCCCAACAATGACGAACATCATAAGAGCAAAGTATCATACTTACAACCAGATTCAAGCTAAAGAGTCAGGAAAACTCACCAGCACATCCCCAAATAGCTGTATATATACTCTATGTCTGACCTCTTTTATAAGGTATAAAGCGATTTGGTTAGTTCCAGGAGTGATAGCTCAAAGAAATTGAGACAGCAAAAGTAACATTTGTTCTCGGCCATCATTGTTTGATGGCCACCATCATCCCTTCTTTGTATCTATATTTTTACCATCACTCCGATTACGCAAGGTCGGACACACATTTGGTTAAGTTGATGAGCCTCTTAGTTTTCATGTCTGAGAGTAAGAAAGAGGGAGAAGAATACAGAGAAATGACCCTGATTAAAACCAAGACAAGAAAATACTATTGTTAGGGAAACTTTCATCTCGTATGAAACTGCATGAAGAAGAGATTCGAAGATCACTTGTCTGTACTCTTTTCCCTCTTTTTCTTTCTTTCTCACATAAAGACAAAAAAGGTCAACATAACCATGTGTCCCACCTTGCATAATCGGAACGATTGTGAAAAATGTGTATACAGAGAAACAATGGTATTTACATCCTCGAATATGATATAAAGGAGGCCGAAACCGAAGGCCAATAGGCTACCAGGGGGTGATGGTGGCCATCAAGCCCTGATGGCCTAGAAAAAACGTTAATTTTGGTGTCTTAATTACTTTAAGCCATCACTGCTAATTTCATAAATGGGCGAACAAATACAGGCGCATACGCATACAGAGGCAGACATATTCACATGCTCCGAGGTTGACATATGTCTAGACCTAATAAAATTACTTTCAACCTCATTAAATAGCTCAGATATAGTCTCTCTCTCTATATATATATATACATATATATACATGCAGCTTTTTAGAGATGAGCCGGCGAGTTTTCTTGACTCTTTAGTTTGAATGTGATTGTAAAGATGATACTCTGCTCTAATGATGTTCGTCATACGACGGACGAAGGCTTAGCTCGTTTTTACCGATATCGAAGATTACCTTGGAAACAGCGTTAACGAGAATGATCCAGTGAAGCCAATCGACACTTAATCAAGAGGAATCCACCGTCGTCTTCTGGTGGGATCGACCTTCGAATCTCATCACC